CTGGCACCTAGTAAGTGAGGGCCAGGCCTGCTCCATGTCCTGCAGTGAGAGGACAGTCCTGTACAGCAACAAATTGTCACTCAAAAGGCCAAAAGCAGCTCTATTGAGAAGTAGTGGATTAAACTATTCATGGGAATTCTATTCCCCGTCCCATTCCCTTTGCCCAATTGTTGTAGGCTTGTACATGGGACTATTTTGGCCAATAAGACATAAAAGCCTGTTGGGTTTCTGAGAAAGATTTTCCTCATAATAACAAAAGGAGCACGTCCCCTGCGTCCTGCCTGCTTGTGAGACCTGGAGCCTCAGCAGCCCACTTGCAGCCATGAGGGGAAAGACCAGAGAATGACAGAGAACACCCAGAGCTCCAACACTACTGAGTTGCTGAATTAACCAACCTTGGAACTGCCAACCTCCAGAGATGTCTTATTCAGGGGAAAAAGTAAATTTCTCTTTAATTTAATCACATTTTAATCTGTTATTTGCAGCCCAAAGCATCCTGAATAATACATTGTTGGGTCTAAAGAAGGCTAATTTTTTTTTTAAATCACATAGTCATATCCATTGATGCAGAAAAGCATTAGACAAAATTTAACACCTATTTATGATTTTTTTTAAAGAAGCTCTCAGAAAAAATAAGAACAGAGAGGAACTTCCTCAATCTAATAAAGAGCATCTATAAAAATATTTATAGCTAAGAATGCTTCTTCCTTGAGATCAGGAACAAAGACATCTTCTCTCACCACTCTTATTCACCATAGTACTGCAAGTTCTGTTCAATGCAATAAGACAAGAATAGGAAATAAAAGCCATGTGGATTGGAAAGAAGGGAATGTAACTCTCCCTCCCTATTTGCATATGACATAATTGTATCTGCAGAAAATTCCAAAGAATCTACAAAAAATTTCTAGAACTAATGAGTGAGTTCGGCAGTGCTGCAGGATACAAAATAAAGGCACAAGTCAATTATATGTTTATATACTAGCAATGAACACACAAACACCAAAATTAAAAATAAAATGCCATATACAATCACTCAAAAAAAAAAAAAAGAGGAAACGTGTGGGCATAAATCTAACAAAATATGTCCATTCAGGCTGCTATAACGAAGTACCTTAGACTAGGTAGCTTTAAAGCAGCAGAAATTTATTTCTCACAGTTCTGGAGGCTGGGAAGACCAAGATCAAGGCACCAGCAGGTTCAGTGTCTGTTGAGGGCCCACTCTCTGCTTTNAGGAGATACGGGCTGGAATACTTAGGAATGAAGTGTCGTGATGTCTGCATGTAACTCTCAGATGGTTCAAACATGTGTATATAGAGAGAGAGACATGAAGCAAAAATGTGAAACTAGGGTAAAATAGACTAGGTGTAAGAAATGGAGCGATCAGTTTGGTGAAACTGGATGTTTCACTATATATTCTTGCAACTTTTTCATTCTTGCAAGTTTTAAATGTTTCCAAACTCGAGACTTGGGGAGGGTCATGCGTGTGAAGCTCCTGGCACACGATAAGGGCTCAGTAGATAGTAAATACAATTTGCTCAAGATGGTGCTATCTTGATTTGATTAAAGCTATTAAAATCTATGCCTATTTTGTCCCCACATCTCAGTTGCTGACTTGCTGTGTGAGGCGGCTCAAGCCACTAGCCCATTCTGGGGGTCAATTTTCCCATCCATAAAGCAGGAGGGACACCGGAACCATGTGTGGACTCCCGAAGAGAAAAGGGACACACAGAGGATGATGAAGATGGTGGTGGATTGAATTATGTCCCCCAAACTCAC